TGGTTCTGGGTCAGGCTCTGGTTCTGGGTCAGGCTCTGAAATCTTTCAATTAAATTATGAATAAAATGTTTCTACAAGCTAGAAAATGTGACCCCCCCTCAAACTGGAGTGGACCGGCCTGAAAGCCGGAGGGGGCGGAGCTTGAAGCATCTTAAAGGAACAGTAACAAAACGAGCTGCTTTGAGACACAGCAGGAAAGTGTTGAAAGAGGAGCTGGTGAAGTTAGAATAAGGAGGAATTCAGAGCAAAGCTGTAGTTCCACTTAATAAAGACCCAACTGAAGGATTTCAAAGCATCCTGTTTACTTTAAATCCAATGGTTTCTGCTCAAATCTTGGCCAGAGGTCTTGTATATCCTACACTACAGTGATGTATTTTCAAATATTTTCCACACAGGCGGCCTGCAACCAGCTTAATGCCCACCTGACCTCCATTCAGACACCAGATCAGTACGCCTTTCTGAGGGTACTCATTGAGAAAGCCACAGGAGCCAACACCAGAACCTGGGTCGGAGGCACCAACTTACAAGATGTGAGGATTTTGTGTTGGTTTTTGTAAGAAATATTAACGCTAGATGAAACGTGACTCTTTATAAAATATMTTTAATCACCTCGAGGGCACCACTACTACTTAATTATTGGAAAAGCGCCAGCAAAAACCAATTTTCAAACTCTTAAAACGATCTCTAGACACTGAAGTTAGTGAGATCTTTCAGTTTAATGATGCATGAAACAAGAYAAACGCAGACAAAAGCAATTAAATTCAGAATATAATCCATGTATTAAAATGAGATTCAGAGGTACTTTACAGGCAAAAAGGCACAACTTTATAACCAACTTACTGCTACAGATTGTTGACGACGTGACGTCGGCTTCACAAGATGGCTTCTATATGGCCAAACTTTGTACCACATCCTCATGAACCGTTCGTAAACAAACTATCTTTCTACACTATCAAAACAAAATGGAACCTTATCAATTCTAGTCAAGAGGGGACYCATTTATAAGAGAAATCAAACTAGTATAAGGGACAGTCTGCCTCAGCCTTCAGATTAYCACCACCAGACATAGAGGAAGATGGATCATTCCTACTGATTTGGCGATACTCAGACAGATGTCCCCTGGGTACCTGGGCAGGTTRAGAGCCTYGTATGACCACCTGTWGGAGGGCTCGCTTGCGGAGGTCCCTTGGGTACAGCTGGACTCACCAGAGTGACGTCTGAGAGCAGCCGTGTCAGCTGCTTCCACCAGAGGATCTAGGAGTCCCAAATCTTTTTTTGTCACTTCAGTAGAAAACGAAACCAAATATTATAAGTTTATTTAGTTTATTTATTTCTTCATCATCAGTGACTGTTTTAAGTGAAGAGAAAATGGAGAAAGAGAGAAAAACAGAGAGAGAAGTAATTAGAAAGATTGAAATAGCGATTAGAAGTATATTAACTAGAACTGCAAAGCAGTTATGACCGGGGTCCAAGCCCTTTTATGCATGTCAGCCTTTGTCATGTTGTTTGTAGCATATTGT